CAAGGGTCCAAAGATTTTTCTGTTTTGTTCTTCAATCAATGGAGACTTTTGTCTTTTGTCCTGAAAACTGATTGCGCTGCTACTGATAGTGTTAGTGAGCAGCTAGTGAAATAATCTGAGTGTATAAACATCCTATAAATAGATATTTATTGGTTAGCACAGAGGTTCCCAAAGTGGGGGGCGCAGTGCCATTGCAGGGGGTTAACATAAACCGAAATATGTTTAATAACATAAACATAAATATGTTTATGTTATGAAGCATATTTAATAATAACACATTATTTATTTGTATGAGAACAGATGTTTCAAAATAAAAGTAGAACTGATTAAAACAAGGACACAAAATATACACATAAACAGCCATAAGAAAAAGTTAGAGAGGAGATCTTATTAAAAATGAAAATAATAATAATATTTCTTAAGGACACAAATTTTAGATGTTCGTCTGCTGCAAGCAGATTTTAGACCTACATTTCTCCTTTTGTCCTTCCACTTGTCCAATTTCCTCATTTTTTCAGGACACCTGGATCATGCACATATATGCCATGCTTTCAGTTAGTAGCTCTTTGGAAATCACTCTGTTGGTGCAAAAATACCGTTTTCTGTCAATTAGAAAATGGATGAAAATATCTGTGTGGATGGAGTTTCCTGAGGAGCTTACTTTGATTGATTTCAGCATTAAGCTGATTCTGTTTGTTAAAATGTGAATGTTAAGAACTGCAATTAAATTATTTAACAAAAATCCAAAGAACAACTTAAAAAAGAAAATTTAAATGAAAAACAAACATGTACTTTATAACTCTAGTTCATGTTCGTATATATTTATATCTTTACACAGAGAAACATTCATTACATAACTGATGCTGTTCTTGGATCATCCTGATCACTGTTTCTCAGAAACAGCACACCTGTAGCTAAACAGTCGTCCAACTTCATTCCTGCATGCTGTGGATCATCTCCTGGTATGACCTGAGCTGAACTCTTTCCAGTCACGGAGCTCCCAGGAGAATATTTTGATAATTTTTTATTGATAATGAAAACAAACACACTGAAGCTGAGAACATATGCTTCTTTTAAATATGAGAAGTTTTAAAAAAATAACACATTTTACTGATAAAAAGAAAAATTAGAAGTATATTTTACTGTCATGAAACTGAGGGCAAGAAACCACAGACTGTGTGAAAATGTTATGCAAAACCTACAGCTGTGTCAGCTGTAAGAGAGAAAAAAAAACATGCCTTTGTTTTAACCTTTGCAGTAACAATGGTGACCATAAAATATGGCTTTATTTTTACCAGGTACGCAAAAATATTTAATCTGCTCTGCACATGATTCATTTCCTATAAAAGTACAACAAAAGTACACACATGCTCTTGCTCAAGCAATTGAAAAGCCACTGTAATTTACAGTGAATTTACAGCAAAACAACTGTATTTAAAGCAAACCACACTCTTGTCTGGTTGAAATTAAAGTGGACAACTGTACCGGTTCTGTATACTGAAATTGAGCAAAAATAAACACATCATTTACAGCACACTGAAGATGAAACTCGCTTCCGTATAACATGGGCAACTTCCTTCTATTTCAGATGTCATTAACACTCACAGTGTATATCAGTGAATTGATGTCTCGTTCTCTCTTGGCATACAGCTTGATGTCATCCATGTACAGGAGGTGGCTGACAACTGCTCTGTTCCCTAGTTGGTATCCGTAGCCAGTCTTGTAAATGCTGTCAGTGAGGGGGTTCAGGCCTATGCAGAACAGCAGTGCATCTCCTTGGTAGATCACTTGATGGTGACTTGTGCTATGGGCTTGAGTTTGGCCTCTAGTGTTGTACGCTGCATCCGAATTGAGTTGAATTGAATTGATGGCTTTTAGGGTCCTGTTGATCTTGTATAGGTCTAGGTAGTCCAGGATCCAGCTGTGGGGCATTGAGTCACAGGCCTTCTTGTAATCAATCCAGGCAGTGCACAGGTTGGTCAGTCTGGTCTTACAGTCTAGGGAAACGGCTCGGTCTACCAGTAGCTGGTGTTTTGCACCTCTGGTATTGCCAATCCCTTTCTGTGCCCCACTCACGTATTGGGACAATATTTTATATAGTGAGAGAGAAAGAGAAATATGCAAATGGCTAACAAACAGCCATGATAATTCATCATACATTGAGAATAGCAGAGAAATCAACAATACAATTAATTCCAATTAATATTGTTCAGCACAATATTAATTGGAATTAATTGTATTGTTGATTTCTCTGCTATTCACACAGTCCAAAAGATTAAATACGCCACATCAGTGTCTACTGTCTGTCTGCTGTTTACCATTGCAGCCAAGTGGCTAACAAATGTAAACAGAAGTTTTTCCAATCCCTACTAATGAAGGCTAACTTGTTTCAGCACACATAATACCCGCCATTATCCAAAGACACATCTGCTTACCTGTATCATTTGCTTGTTTCTCCTCTTCTTTTCTCTTTCTTTTTCTAAACTGAGGACCTGATGGCTTTGACCTTTTCCTGTCATCTTCCATCAGTAATTTTGCCACTATCAACACCCAACCCCACAACATAAACTAACAGACTAATAGACCTACACCTTGTATAGGTTTTTTTCTAGGATTTTTACACAACCCAGGAAAAATAAGTAATACATAATGGGCTTGGATTGATGAATAAAATGTGCCCTATTTGGAAGCAGCCCACCCCCTCCCCTTTTGACTGGTTGTGTGTGAGACTTCAGCACAGCAGCAGCAGCAAGCAGGTGCACCGAGGGCCCTCGCGCTCACTTTTTGTATATGTGTGAATGAATTTAGAAAACACATCGGTGCAAATTATAAGTCTATATCAAAATGTCTTCAGTTTTTGTGCTTGTTGTAGGGCTGTCAACGTTAATGGGTTGACGCCATTATCACGATTAACGCAATTTACATTTTTAATGCATTCATCTTCATCTGGAGCACAGAGTCGATAAACTTTGGACAAACTGCCCGAAATGCACTGACAGAGACATTTCAGGATTTTTGAGTCATCCTGCGCTCCAAATTGTGTCCTTCACACAGCTGTTCCTGAACCACGATGTCATGTTCTGTGTGAGGATGCTCTCCACAGCGCCTGTATAGAAAATCCTGAGGATCTTTGGAGAGACCCTGAACTTCCTCAGTTGTCGTAGGTGATACAGGCGCTGCCTAGCCTTTTTGGTCTGGACCTGAATGTGGGCAGCCCATGTCAGGTCTGAGGAGATGTGGACACCAAGATACTTGAAGGACTGCACCCTCTCCACTGGAGCTCCATTGATGATAATGGTGCCAATGTAGTTAACCCTCTACGTCGGGAGCGCGCACTGGGCTGGGAGAGCAAATGGAGTTGACTCCGCCTCCATTCCAACCAACTACACATTTGACTCTTGTGGAACAGTGAAAGATGTGTTAGGTTTAACCTTAGGGTGTTTTTAGATCTGTAGATCATTTACTTTGGTCCGAATCAGTTGATGAGTTTGTAAACTTAGCTTAGCTTTTTTCATTTTCTTTTGAGAGAAATCAAGGTGAATGAAAGTCTGCTGCTACAAACCACGAGATAATGTTCATTGGTCAGTCGTGTCTGGGGCAGGAGCAATAAAAATAAATACAGGAAGAGGGTCCTGTGTAAGAGAACGGAGAATTTACATTCATTTCATGGCTAGTTGCTAACCTGTACAGAGCATTGCACATCTATAATATTGTCCCCCATTGAGAATTCAAAGCATTTGTGGGTACAGGATGTTTTTGTTTTTGTTTTTTTTTAGCTCAAACTTGTAATGTACACCTAGTAGCTAGTTTGTAATTCTGCTGCGCATGTGATTTCATTTGTACCACCTACAACCAGAATTCCTTCTTAAAGAAAATTTGAAATCTTGTCAAAGAAAATAGTGGAAATGATCTTTTTAGTTAACCAATTCTTTTTTGACATACTAAAACAAACAAACAAACAAACAAACAAACAAACAAACAAACAACCCCCCCCCCCCCCCCAAACGATTGAAATGATCAGATAGAAAATGTTTCCTTGCTACTCTTAAATTCCTTTTATTTTAACAATCCTGTAACAGGCTCTTTGGTGTCTGTAAGGTGTGCGTGTCTTTGTTTCTATCCGGTTGTTCAGTGATGACGCGACGAATCCTACTTCCGGGTCGAAAGTAGTCTGCCTTTAATATGGCTTTTGTGTTGTTAACATGTTTAATGTTATGTATTTTCTTCTATTTGATCTCAAAAAGCTCCTAAAACAGTCAGTGATCCCTGTTGACCTCCCTCGGCTTTTATTACCGCTAATCATTTATTTAAGCTCAGTTTTTAAAACCTTAGGATGTAACTACAGCCCAGCCCATGCAGCAGTATATGACTGACTAACCTCGTATTGTGGATGGATTATCTCAGTTGTTCTCCTGGCTGAAGTTTGGTCCTTTTACAGCATCCTGCCATGCGATTACATTTGTTCCTGACCACCGAGAACACTCACGTTAACTTTTATCGAGTGGAAAAAAAGTTAGCTTGTTTATATTATGCTAACATAGCTGTGTCGCTAGCGGTCACGTAGCACATCATTATATACCAGCTAGCCCAACTTCAGTAACCCTACAAACGTCACTGCTGTTTAGTTTTCTGTCTTCATTTATGCTGGAAGTGATAACAGAGCTGTACGTTTTAATTTGTTTCCAAAACCCCGCAGTCAGGACATGCTATATTGTATTTAGATAGAAGCTAGCGAGCTAACTCCCTGCTAACTTCTAACTCCGTTAAATGTCATAAATTCTCGTTTTCATGGATGCCTGGATGTTAAACTCAATTGTTACACCTGGTAGAGCAGAACGCTGATCATTTTATTAAAGATGAAAGACTTTAGACAGTTTTTCAACTCTCAGTAATGCCACAGTGATCGTTTGATATATGGACCTGCAGCGGAGTTTAGACCCAGACACGGCTAGTGACGTCAGACTGAACAACCGGATTAAACCTGTTATGCAACTACTGTGGGCGTGTCAACTGTGAAGCTACACATAAAAAATGTGTTGAACAGAAGCTTGAACACTCATCTCTCTCACCTGTGTAGTTACAACAAACTGAAGATAAATTATGACTTCATCTAAATCAGGTAAATATATATTTAATCTGCTTTGTTTAATATGTGTTAATATGTGCTCATGCATTGAAATACATGAAATTTATGGACTTGATGTTTCAGATGTGTTAAATTGAAGCTGTGAATTGTGTTTCAGGTCCTGATTTGAGGATTGTGATAATAGGAAAAACTGGTGTGGGGAAGAGTTCCTCTGGAAACACCATCCTGGGAAAAAAACATTTCAAATCTCGTTCCAGCTCAGAGTCAGTGACTGAAACCTGTGAAATAGCTGAAGCACAGTGGGAAGGGAGAAATATTTCTGTCATAGACACACCAGGGATCCTGGACACTGAGAAATCTGCAGAGATGATCAAAAAGGAAATTATAAAATGTGTTGAAGTCTCCAGTCCAGGTCCTCATGTTTTTCTACTGGTGCTCCAAGTCGGTCGATTCACGAAAGAGGAGAAAAACTCTGTGGAAGCCCTGCAGGAGCTGTTTGGTCCAAAGGCTCAACATTACATGATTGTGCTGTTCACCCATGGAGATGATCTTGAAGACCAGGAAATGACCATACAGAAGTATGCACGTGAAAGCAAACCAGAGCTCAGACAAGTCATCCAAAGCTGTGGAAACAGGCTCCACGTCTTCAACAACAAAAGCAAAGACAGAAAGCAGGTGGAGGAGCTGATGAAGAAGATTGATGACATGGTGGCAGTAAACGCTGGCACATACTACACAAATGCCATGTACAGAGAGGTGGAAGAAAGGAAACGGAAAAAAGCTGAGATGGAGGATGAAGAATACAAGTTCCTGAGTCAACTGGTAGAGCAGATTCAAAGTTTTCATTCACGTCTTAAAAGAGAATAATTAATTATCAGATGATTCAAACCTGTAGACAAATATCTTTGGTGTTAATTTGCTTTGAATAGCTTTGACCTTTTTGTTGACTGTAAAAAACAGAAGAAAAAATTAATCTTAGTTAAGATGAAAGAGTTTTAAAACAGTGATGAATCATCAAGCTGTGATGTGCTACAAAGAGTTTTTGTATATCATATTTTTTTAAGTAGACCTAAATGAAACACAGGTGATTGGATATGTTTTATGTTGTTTAATTGATTTTACTGAAAAATGTATGCTTTATGCTGATTTGTCAAAAAATAGGCTCAAAGGGTTAGGGACATAAATATTTTATATTTATGTAAAATATTTTATATTTTACACACACATATATATATATATA